GGTCTGAGGCTCACTCTTCAAGACTCACCCAGGGCAGGTCCAGAAATGTTATCCACGAGCCAAGGCCCGGAATCAGGCACCCCAGGAGGCTTCTTGGTGCTCTGTCCCTCTGTGGTTGAGCTGGTAACTGAGGTGCCAGAAAGTCCCCTTTACTCTCTGCTCTGTTATTCTCAAGCAGGTGGGGTCTCTGACCGTAACCACCACAGCTAGCAATGTGCTGTGTTACATCTGAAGCTGGCACGTCTCAGAGTCTCACCCAGTGCCATCGCGTACTACCTGGGCACTGCTGCTTGTTATTCAGGGGCCAAGGGTTGTTTAGTCAGAAGGTGATGGGTCCTCCCATGACTGAGTTCTTCCCTTCAAGGTAGCGGGTTCTGTTTTGGTCCAGAGTGTGTCTAGAAATACTGTCTGGGTGGGCCTGGAAGGGGGCCTCACAACCTGCCCAGTGCCCTATCCTGTGGCTGAGGTGATATCCAAAATGCAAGACAAAGTTCTTTTTGCTCTTCCCTCTCCTTGAGTGGAAGGAAGGACCCATGTAGCCTGGGGTTGCGGGAGGGGTGGCACAAGCACACCCTTAGCTACTCCAGCTGGTGTCTCAGTAGGTTGTGCTCCCCCAACCCAACCAGGTCCACTGACTTGGAGCGCAGCTCAGCACAGGACATTTCTAGGGGTTGCAGTCCTTGTGGCCTAGACTGTCTTTCAAGTTTATTTAGGACTTCAGAGCCCTCCAACCCACAGTGGCAAGGCTTGCGAGATCTCAAGTCCTGACCATTGGGGTGGGCGATACCCCTCTGGCTGGGCTGGTTGATACGCTCACTCCCTGGGATGGCGTCCTTTGAGTTCAGCCCAGTTTTGCTTTCTGCTATGACAGGGAAGCACTGATTTCCATGCAATGTCTGACAGTGACTGCACTTTCCCTTCCCAGGAGCACAGATTATCCACAACAGGCAGCCACTGCTGGGGGATGGGGAGGGGTGGCATTGGCAAATCAAGACTATATACAGCCCCTTTTAGTGCCATTCCCATAATACAAACTTAATTCCAGGTACTGTGAGTGCTCACTTGATTTTTGGTTCTTATGAAGGTGATTTTTTTCTGTGTAGTTTTTAAATTTGGTGGTATGGGCCGGGCATGGTGGCTCATGCCTGTAATCCCAGCACTTTGTGAAGCTAAGGTGGGCAGATCACCTGAGGTCAGGTATTTGAGACCAGCCTGACCAACATGGCAAAACCACGTTTCTACTAAAAATACAAAAATTAGTCGGGTGTGGTGGCAGGTGCTTGTAATCCCAGCTACTTGGGCGGCTGAGGCAGGGAGAATTAGGGAGAATTGCTTGAACCCGGGAGGCAGAGGTTGCAGTGAGCCAAGATCATGCCACTGTACTCCAGCCACAGTGACAGAGCAAGACTCTGTCAAAAAAAAAAAAAAAAAAAGATGTTCTGTTAAAGTTATGATGGATGCTGCTTTCTATTCTGCCATCCTGCTCTGTTGTACCTCTGGAACTCAGTGCTTTCAACTGGGAACACTAGAGAAACCCTAAACCCTAGGTGCTAAGTCCATAACGCAGGTTGTATGGAGGTATTCCCATTTCAGTGAAACGGTGTGAACACTTAGAAGGTCAGGCCTGGATTTGGTAGCAGTACATGAAATGCTTAGAGATAAAAGTGATCAGAGTGGGGAGGTGATGTTACTTCAGTTCCGTCTGGCTCCACGTTGGAGAACGGAGCATGGCGTTAAGGGAGGAGGAAGGAAGACAGCGTTGAGGCTCATTCTGTCATCCAGGTGAGGTTTAATGGACAATCCTTGGCCAAGGAGATGTCGCTGGAATTGTGATTTACATTTGGTAAAGGAGCAGCGTGATTTTCTAATGTGGTCGGTAAGGACATGCAAGAGGGTTTCAGGCATGACCCTGGGGTTTTTTTGTTTTTGTTTTTAGATGGGAGTCTTGCTCTGTCACCCAGGCTGGAGTGCAGAGGCACGATCTCAGTTCACTGAACCTCTGCCTCCTGGGTTCGAGCACTTCTCCCTCAGCCTCCTGAGTAGCGGGGACTACAGGCACACGCCATCACGCCTGGCTGATTTTTGTAATTTTAGTAGAGACGGGGTTTCACCATATTGGCCAGGCTGGTCTCAAACTCCTGACCTCAGGTGATCCACCTGCCTCAGCCTTCCAAAGTGCTGGGATTACAGGCTAGAGCCACCGTGCCCGGTAACCCTAGGGTTTTTGGTCTTAGAAGCAGCAGGGATAGAAGCTGTATCAGCTGAGATGAGCAAGTTGGGATTAGGCATAATATTCAATGGGGGTATAAGGAGGGTTGTTTTCACCATGCTAAGAGCCTGAGATGCTTCAAAGACCAGTAAGTAGTGGCAGCAAGTGAGTAATGTCCACATAGGTTGCGATATCTGGGAAGGAATTGATATCGGAGACATGCAACATATGATAGCTAATGTGTGGACTAAGGTGAGTTAGCCATGGGTCCCGTTTTGGAGGGCACACTTCAGAATAAGGTAGTAAATGTTTCAGGGGGCCAGAAAGGAATGGTTGGAGGCTGAGGACTGGATGTTTTGCCTGGATTCTTGGGTGACATGATTGGCATTCATAAACACAGGAGAGGGAGGTAAGTGACAATGTCAGGTGTATCAGACGGCATAGCTTGTCATGGCGCGGACTTCCATGGAGATAATAGACATGAGACGTAGGCAGAAGTACAGGAGTAATTGAGCGAAAGGTCATCATTGCCGAGGGGTTGGCAAGTAAAGCACAGAAGTGGAATAGGGTCACGAATAGCTGAAGCCACACGTGGTTCTGTGTTGCTGTGGAACCGTGCAAGGAGGCCTTCATAGAATTACTTGAGACCACCACTACTTTTAGGATCCAATAGAATTGCAATTCTGTGGTAATAGTGGATCGGTTTGAATGGGCCATACACACTCTGGGTGGTGTCAGCCACGATGTGGTGTAAGGCCAAAAATGAAGGCCCAATGTGATTTGCCACGTGGATGCCTGGTGATATTGGTACGACCCCAAATGGCCTGAGTGCAAGTTTCTTTCCCATTTAACTATCTTTTTGTATATTTTAAATTTTTTTCTCGTGTGTGTGTGTGTGTGTGTGTGTGTGTGTGTGTGTGTGTGTGTGTGTATAGAAACAGGGTCTTGGCCATGTTGTCCAGGCTGGTCTTGAACTCCTGGGATCAAGCAGTCCTTCCACTTTGGCCTCCCGGAGTGCTGGGATTACAGGTGGGAGACTCCATGACTGGCTACTTCATGCTCTTAAGTAATGTATCTGAATGGGCGCAGTGGCTCACGCCTGTAATCCCAGCACTTTAGGAGGCTGAGGTGGGTGGATTATTTTCCATCAGGAGTTTGAAACCAGCCTGCCCAATATGGCGAAACACCATCTCTATTAAAAATACAGAAATTAGCTGGGCATGGTGGTACACGCCTGTAATCCCAGCTACTGAGGTGCTGAGACAGGAGAATTGCTTGAACCCAGGAGGCGGAGGTTGCAGTGAGCCAAGATTGCACCACCACACTCCAGCCTGGGTGACAGAGCGAGACTCCCGTCACAAAAAAAAAAAAAAAGAAAAAAATAGGTAATGTGTCCTAGCCTCTGAAGCCTTTCCATCGATGGGACCAGGCAGAGTTCAAGTCAATGGCATCCTCCTGAGGGAATCAGGCCATTACATTCTCTTCATCTTACAAAGCTTGCATGCCATGGCCATGGTTGCTCTCTCTTATCTACAATGCATCCCCCATGTGGCTTTCCGTGGTGAGTGGTGTCCCTCTTATCAGGCTGTTAATATGTTTGATTTTTTTTTTTTTTTTGAGGCAGAGTTTTGCTCTTGTTGCCCAGGCTGGAGTGCAGTGGCGCGATCTCGGCTCACTGCAACCTCTGCCTCCCAGGTTCAAGCGATTCTTCTGCCTCAGCATCCCGAGTAGCTGGGATCACAGGTGCCCGACACTATGCTCTGTTAATTTTTTGTATTTTTAGTAGACCGAGGTTTCACATTGTTGGACAGGCTGGTCTCAAACTCCTGACCTGAGGCGATCCACCCAGCTCAGCCTCCCAAAACGCTGGGATTACAAATGTGAGCCACTGCGCCTGGCTCAATACATTTGATTTATAAATTGCTCTTGATGACATCTGTAGAATATCAGATGTCATTTGTCTTACCAACATTATAACCCTAGGGGGAGATTTTAACCCACCCTAGTTGAAGAAAAAGGAGGGAATTAAGATACTTTAAGCTGGCTGGACACTGTGCTAATGCCTGTAGTCTTAGCACTTTGGGAGGCCTAGATGGGCAGATCACAAGGTCAGGAGTTCGAGACCAGCCTGGCCAACATGGTGAAATCCTATCACTACTAAAAACACAAAAAATTAACCAGGTATGGTGGTACACACCTGTAATCCCAGCTGTTTGGGAGATTGAGGCAGGATAATTGCTTGAACCCAGGAGGTGGAGGTTGCAGTGAGCCGAGATCGTGCCACTACACTTAAGCCTGGCGACAGAGTGAGACTCTGTCTCAAACAAACAAACAAAAACATATACTTTAAGTTGTTTAAAGGCCAGAGAGAGGCCAGTGGTGTGTGACAGTGAGCTGGGGATGGACATGGATATGTACCTGGAAGTCTAAAGAATGATGTGCATTCAGAGAGGGTATGTCTGATGTGCTGAAGGTGCCACATTGGGCTCTCCATGTCCTCGGTCATACTGGGGGAAGTGCCTATCAGGAGGGGGTGGACTCTTTTGTCACAGCCACTGCACAGATACCTATTTGTTCAACTAATTATTGTTGGTGGCTGTACCCCATGACCAGTGGGCCTAGTTTCTCCAGTGGCACCTGGAGGAGGTCATGGAGTCAGGGCTTTATTGAAAGCATACCAGGAACCTCCTCCTTGAGAGGAGGATGTGCGAGAGTAGATGTGTGGGAGAGAGGGATTGTGGTACCTCAGCATAGGGGCCGTTTGTAGTTTCATCTGTCAACATCATAACAGGGCACAGTGACTTTTGAAGACGTGGCTGTGAAATTTACCCAGGAGGAATGGAATCTCCTTAGTGAGGCTCAGAGATGCCTGTATCGTGATGTGATGCTGGAGAACCTGGCACTTATATCCTCCCTGGGTAAGTTGCTCACACTCACCTTGTGACCCAAGCTAGTCTCTGCTTTCCCCCCTCTTTCCCCATTGGCAAGACTTTCTCATGTCAGGAGCATGGACACAGCTTCCTGCTTCAGTTCTATGAGTAGGTTCTTGGTTGGCAGAACTGAGGTGTCCATACTGCCCTGCTCCTTTCTTGGAGCAGCCCCAACACCTGCTTTACTGCAGGCTCCCAGGGAGGGATTCATAGTCAGAAGCCCACCTTGTTAGTCCTTGGATGTTTGGGTGTCCTTGTCCAGATTTCAGGTTCCTGTGTACCCAGAGTCTACTTCCTTTCTCTAGCTGCTATTTTCTTATGCCTTCCTGTGGTGGGAATTGCCTTCACAGACTACATCACTGCCTACATAGACCACAGGCTGTTCTTGTAAGACCTTCTTTAGAAATTCTCCTTGAAATACTTTTTTTTTTTACTCACGTGGGCTTTCATGGGCTGAGTTGTTCTGAGACAATGTTGGCTGTTCCCTTGTTCTGTCTTTCCCTTAGTTTGTACGTTGTTCATTTCCCATGTATTTGATCTTCATTGTGGTGGGATGCACAGTCCTCCATGCTCCAGAAGATGCAAATGAATTCAGCCTCAGAATAATGGGCTCAGAAGGAATGAGTCCCTCAAGACTGGCACCCTGGGCTGGGCGAGGTGGCTCATGCCTGTAATCCCAGCACTTTGGGAGGCCCAGGCAGGTGGATCATGAGGTCAGGAGTTCAAGACCAGCCTGGCCAAGATGGTGAAACCCTGTCTCTACTAAAAATACAAAAATTAGTCGAGTGTAGTGGCACATGCCTGTAATCCCAGCTACTTGGGAGGCTGAGGCAGAGAATTGCTTGAACTTGGGAGGCAAGGTTGCAGTGAGCCCAGATTGCACCACTGCACTCCAGCCTGTGCGACAGAGCAAGACTCCATCTCAAAAAAAAAAAAAAGAAAAAGAAAAAGTGGCACCCTGGAGGAGGTCATGGAGTCAGGGCTTTATTGAAAGCATACCAGGAACCTAATGTATTTTAGTAGTATTTTTGTGGCAAGAGAAGTAGGCACACATAATTCGTCTTTTCTTCCTCATTCTTGAGAGCATCACACTTGTCACTTGTCTACCTTATCACTTCTACTCTTTTTTTTTTTTTTTTTTTTTTACCTTTGACCTACTTGTACCCTAATATCCATTCTCCTGTCTAATCTTCACATCTCTGGACCCCAAATCTCATCCGTCTTACATACATCGCCATCTACAGTGTTCTCCAGTGTTGGCATAGAGATTTGTGTTAGCAAATATATATGCTTTGTTAAACTGACGTCGAGCAGTAGCTGCTGTGTTGTGCTCCTGTTTTCCTTGGCCTGGACAGATCCCTCTCTACAGCACTCACATGTCATGAGGATGTAAAGTTCTGCAGATGAGTGGTTTGCAGATGCAGGAATTGTAGACCCTGCCTATACTCCCTGTGTTACATACCTGGTTGTGTCCTTTATGTCATGAGGCCTCCTACATTCTGTGACCTTTAGAGTCCAGTAATAATAAATAGCACCATCTTCCACCTGAAGCCAACGTTCTGTTCCTCCAAGTATTTTCTTGGAGTAATTCCTCAGTTTGTCAGATACACTTGTGGGTGGTCTGTGCCTTCCCAGCAGAGTTAACATGTACTTCACCAGCATTTTCTTGCTTTCAGGTTGTTGGTGTGGAGTGGAAGATGAGGCACCTTCTAAGCAAAGTATTTATATACAAAGAGAGACTCAGGTCAGGATTCCTATGGCAGGTGTGTCTCCCAAGAAGGCCCACCCCTGTGAGATGTGTGGCCCTATCTTAGGAGACATTTTGCACATGGGAGATCATCAGGGAACACATCACAAGCAGAAACTGCACAGGTGTGAGGCCTGGGGGAACAAATTGTATGACAGTGGAAACTTTCATCAACACCAGAATGAGTACATTGGAGAGAAACCCTACAGAGGCAGTGTTGAGGAAGTGTTGTTTGTGAAGAGGTGTAAGTTCCATGTGTCAGGGGAGTCATCTGTCTTCAGTCAGAGTGGGAAAGACTTTTTGCCCATTTCAGGATTACTCCAGCAGGAAGCCACTCACACTGGGGAGAAGTCAAACAGCAAAACTGAGTGTGTGTCTCCCTTTCAGTGGGGGGGAGCTCACTATAGCCATGGAGAATCCATGAAACATTTTAGCACCAAACATACACTCAGTCAGCACGAGAGACTTCTCCCTAGAGAAGAGTGTTATGTGTGCTGTGAATGTGGGAAATCCTTTAGCAAACATGCTAGCTGTAGTAATCATCAGAGAGTTCACACTGGTAAAAGACTTTATGAATGTGGAGAATGTGTGAAATCCTTTAGCAAATATGCTAGCTTCAGTAATCATCAGAGAGTTCACACTGGAAAAAAACATGAATGTGGAGAATGTGGGAAATCCTTTAGTCAAAAGAGAAGCCTCATTCAACATCAGCGATTTCACACTGGAGAAAAACCTTATGAGTGTGAAGAGTGTGGGAAATCTTTTAGTTCAGAAGGACATCTTAGGAGCCATCAACGAGTTCACGCTGGAGAAAGACCTTACGAGTGTGGAGAATGTGTGAAATCTTTCAGTCATAAGCGCAGTCTTGTTCACCATCAGCGAGTTCACACTGGAGAAAGACCTTATCAGTGTGGAGAATGTGGGAAATCTTTCAGTCAAAAGGGCAACCTCGTTCTACACCAGCGAGTTCACACTGGAGCAAGACCTTATGAGTGTGGAGAATGTGGGAAATCTTTTAGTTCAAAAGGACACCTTAGGAACCATCACCACATTCACACTGGAGACAGACTTTATGAGTGTGGAGAGTGTGGGAAATCTTTTAGTCATAAGGGCACGCTCATTCTACATCAGCGAGTTCACCCTAGAGAACGACCTTATGGGTGTGGAGAATGTGGGAAATCTTTTAGTTCAAACGGGCACCTTAGGAGCCATCAGCGTGTTCATACTGGAGAAAGACCTTATGAGTGTGGAGAATGTGGGAAATCTTTTAGTCATAAGCGCAGCCTTGTTCACCATCAGCGCATTCACACTGGAGAAAGACCTTACAAGTGTGGAGAATGTGGGAAATCTTTTATTGAAAAAGGACACCTTAGGAGTCACCAGCGAGTTCACACTACAGAAAGACCTTTTAAGTGTGGGGAATGTGGGAAATGTTTTAGTCACAAGGGTAACCTCGTTCTACACCAGCATGGCCATATGGGAGGAAGGCCTTATGTGTGTAGGGAATGTGGAAAATTATTTAAGAAGAAGTCTCGCCTCCTTGCACACCAGAGAATTCACAATGGAGAAAAGCCATATGCTTGTGAAGGTTGTCAGAAATTTTTTAGGCACAAGTACCAACTCATTGCACATCAGAGAGTTCACACTGGAGAAAGGCCTTATGAATGCAATGATTGTGGAAAATCATTTACCCACAGCTCTACGTTCCATGTTCATAAGCGAATTCACACTGGAGAAAAGCCTTATGAGTGCAGTGAATGTGGAAAATCTTTTGCTGAAAGCTCCAGTCTCACTAAACACAGGAGAGTTCACACTGGAGAAAAGCCTTATAAATGTGAGAAATGTGGGAAATTATTTAACAAGAAGTCTCACTTCCTTGTACATCAGAAAGTCCACACTGGAGAAAAGTCATATGAGTGTGAGGATTGTCAGAAAGTTTTTAGCAAGAAGGACCACCTCATTGCACATCAGAGAGTTCACACTGGAGAAAAGCCATATGAATGCAATGATTGTGGGAAATCATTTACCCACAACTCTGCATTCCGTGTTCATAAGAGAGTTCACACTGGTCACACGACCTTATGAGTGCAGTGAATGTGGGAAATATTTTGCTGGAAGCTCCTGTCTTGCTAAACAAAAAAGAGTTCACACTGGAGAAAAGCCTTATGGGTGCAGTGAATGTGGGGAGAAATTTAGCCAAAGCTTTTCACTTTTTCATCATCAGAGAGTTCACAAGAGAAAGGCCTTAATTGTGTAGTGAATGTGGGAAATCCTTTGCCAAAACTTTCAGTCTCATTAAACACAGGAGAGTTCACACTGGAGCAAGGTCTTGTGATTGCAGCAAATGTGGAAAAAAAGTTACCTGAAGGTCTTCTCTCTTTGAACATCAGAGTTCACACTAGACAAATGAAATACATTTGGGCGATTTTGTAGCCACACCTCTGTGCTCCTTCAGCATCAGAGAGTTAACACTGGATCAGGGCCTTACCAGTGTGACAAATGTGAGATATTTATGTAGAAATCTAGCTTCATAATACACAGGAGACTTACCACTGCAGAAACGCTTTTTGAATGTATTGAATGCAAGAAAGGCTTCAGCCTTTTTTTTTTTTTTTGAGATGGAGTCTCTGTCACCCAGGCTGTAGTGCAGTAGTGTGGTCTAGGCTCACTGCAAGCTCTGCCCCCCGGGTTCACACCCTTCTCCTGCCTCAGCCTCCCGAGTAACTGGGACTACAGATGTCCACCACCACACCCGGCTAATATTTTGTATTTTCAGTAGAGACAGGGTTTCACCGTGTTAGCCAGGATGGTCTTGATCTCTTGACCGCGTGATCCGCCCACCTCGGCCTCCCAAAGTGCTGGGATTACAGGAATAAGCCACCATGCCCAGCCCGGCCTTCAGCCTTCTTATTAGAGCCTCAAACATTGTCATGAGAAAAACACAATAGATGTATATGGAATGTTACTTCTTTTTCAATGTAACATTCGAGGAGCTCCTTTGAGGGTGCCACCTGCCTAGATTGAATGTCATTTATTGAGAATCTGCAAAAGTTTCAAGCATGGGGCAGCTACAGTACATTTTTCACTCTACCCAGGTGCCTTGCTAGATTTTTTTTTGAGATAGTGTGTCACTCTGTCGCTCAGGATGGAGTGTAGTGATGTGTTCACATTTCTTGATCTCCTGGACTTGTGATTCTCTTGCCTCAGCCTCTTGAGTAGCTGAAACCACAGGCATGCACCACCATGCTCCACTAATTCTTTAAGTTTTGGAGAGACAGGGTCTCACCATGTTGCCCAGGCTGGTCTTCAACTTCTGGACTCAAGTGATCTTTCCACCTTGGCCTCCAAACATGCTGGGATTACAGGTGTGAGTTACTGTGCCTCACTTTTTTTTTTTAACTTTTAATTTCTGATCTAGTCACAGAAGGATTTGTTGAGTAGCTTCAGCACTTCTTCCTTTGTCATTTTTTTCTGTCTGATAAGTCGTGCCATGGACCTTACCCATTTTTATCCCAGAGGCCTCTTATGTTGACTTGAAAAGATGAACTATGTCTTTCAGAGATCTTGTGGTTATCACATAAATCTTGACAAATTTTCTACCCTCCAAGTCATGATCCTAAGGACAGCTTGCCTCCCATTTCTCCAGTTTGTGCTATTATGGAGGCCTTATTGTTTCAGCCTTCTTCAATCTTGAGGGTTGTTGTCACTGTATGCGTGGTTCAGAAACAAGTAGGTCCTGTTACCATGAAGGGGGTCACAGCTTTTGTTGGCATAGCTAAACTCTTTGTGGCTCATGGGACAGTATGAATGCAGAACATAGCTTTCTCCACTTGTGGACTGCTTTGCATAGCTGCCAGAGGCCTCCAGAGAAGGCCTTCAGGGCTTTGTGGTCTTTATTTGTAGCATGGATACTAAAATTTGTGGACTCATAGGTCAGCTGGGTACAGGGCACTTTTTGTGACAATTTCTGGTGTTTTTTGAACAAGACAAAATTCTCACTTTTACGAGGTATATTGCATTGTACTTGGTACTGCTGAGGGAAGTTTGTTCCCCAGCTCTTGCACTGCAGACACATGCCTTGATATCCAGAATTCTGTAGGATAATATCACAGATTGTAATGCTATTGGGTGAAATTATAATTTTATAGAATTACTGCATTTATAGGCAGTGGAGGAGACAGAATAATGTAATTGCAACACGTCTTTTGTTTTTTTTTTTTTTTTGAGACAGAGTCTCGCGCTGTTGCCCAGGCTGGAGTGCAGTGGTGCAATTTTGGCTCATGGCAACCTCCGCCTCCCAGGTTCAAATGATTCTCCAGCCTCAGCCTCCCGAGTAGCTGGGACTACAGGCATGTGCCACCACACCCAGCTAATTTTTGTATTTTTAGTAGACATGCGGTTTCACCGTGTTGGCCAGGCTGGTCTCGAACTCCTGACCTTGTGATCCGCTGGCCTCAGCCTCCCAAAGTGCTGGGATTACAGGTGTGAGCCACCGTGTCTGACATAATGCATGTCTTTTAAAAGGGCATCCACGATGATCCAGTCACTATGTATGTGATGAATATGCAGATACAGTAATTTCAGTTCTTCCATAATGATGAATGTTGTATTGTTGAGGCCATTGTCAGAGGAAATACTCTAGAGGTTTTGTGAATTCCTGTACCCATTCTGGGCTGTGCACCTCAAGGTCATTCCTGCATTAGCAGGAGGAAGATGATAGGGAGAAGGGAGATCTCAGTTCAGTGATGTGGCCTTTGTGACCAGCCAGCCAGTTAATCAGACGGAAATGGCCTTATTGCCACATCAATATTTGCTACCATGGAGGCTAGTTTTCTCACTTAGGGCATGAGAAGAATTGGTGTAGTCAGTATAGAGTTGCCAAACCTATTCTCCAAAAATAATGATAAATATTTTTCTTTTGAATTGCATTTTTTTATTATTATTTTTAATTTTTATTTTTTTTGAGATGGAGTCTCGCTGTGTTGCCCAGGCTGAATGGAGTGCAGTGGCACGATCTCGTCTCACTGCAAGCCCTGCCTCCTGGGTTCACACCATTCTCCTGCCCCAGCCTTCCAAGTACTTGGGACTACAGGCACCCGCCACCACACCTGGCTAATTTTTTGTATCTTTACTAGAGATGGGGTTTCACCGTGTTAACCAAGATGGTCTTGATCTCCTGAATTCGTGATCTGCCCACCTGGGCCTCCCAAAATGCTGGAATTACAGGCATAAGCCACTGCGCCCAGCAATTTTTTTTTTCTTTTTTGAGATAGAGTCTCACTGTCACCCAGGCTGGAGTACAGTGGCATGACCTAGGCTCACTGCAACCTCTACTTCCTAGGTTCAAGCAATTCTCCTGGTTCAGCCTCCCGTGTAGCTGGGACTGGAAGCATGTGCCACCACGCCCAGCCAATTTTTGTATTTTTAGTAGAGACGGAGTTTTGCCATGCTCGCCAGGCTGATCTCGGACTCCTAACCTCAGGTGATCTGCCTGCCTCAGCCTCCAAAAGTGGTGGGATTACAGGTGTGAGCCACTGCTCCCAGTCTGAAGTATATTTTAAAGCAGTGATAAGTTGTAAGTTATAAATGACATTCAGTAAAGTATGCATATTTAAGCTGTAGTATGTGATAAATTTGGAGTTTCATATAATCCCATGAAACCACTGACATAGTCACACTAATGAATTTAACACCTTTATATTTACCTGGAACCTTTTTTTTAAGTCTTTCTTTCTGTTCTCCAGACGATCAATGATTTACTTTGCTGTACAGTAAAGTACTTTCCATTTTCTGGAATTTTAGATGACTGATGTAATAAAGTGTTTCCTCGTATAATCCCTGGGTGCTCTCTTGTATCATTTTTTTGTTTTTTAATGACCAGTATATATATATATTTATATTTTTGGAGACGGAGTCTTGCTCTGTGCCCAGCCTGGAGTGCAGTGGTGCGATCTTGGCTCACTGCAAGCTCCGCCTCCCGGGTTCATGCCATTCTCCTGCCTCAGCCTCCGGAGCAGGTGAGACTACAGGCGCCCGCCACCACGCCCGGCTAATTTTTTTTGTATTTTTAGTAGAGACGGGGTTTCATCGTGTTAGCCAGGATGGTCTCGATCTCTTAACCTCGTGATCCACCCGCCTCGGCCTCCCAAAGTGCTGGGATTACAGGCTTGAGCCACCACACCTGACCCAAAATGTATTTATTTAATATTAATCACAAGGCGTCCACCAAGGCTTAAATTAAAAGACAAAAGAAAAATAGTACCAAAGCTCAAGATACAGAGTTCTATACAGAAATCACGGAAAGGGCAGACAATCTAAGGAAAAATTAAAAAAACACAAGGATAGGCTGCGCAGCCTGGGTCAGAGCTCCTGGCTGGTGACCTACTTTGAGTAGCTTTCTTGCAGATACTTCCTTATTTTTTTTGAGACGGAGTTTCACTCTTGTTGTCCAGGCTAGAGTGCAATAGTGAGATCTCAGCTCACCGCAATCTCCGCCTCTCGGGTTGAAGTGATTCTCCTGCCTCAGCCTCCCGAGTAGCTGGGATTACAGGCACATGCCACCACGCTTGGCCAATTTTTAATTTTTTTAAATAGAGATGAGGTTTCTCCATGTTTATCAGGCCTTGGACTCTCTATCTACCTCAGGTGATCCACCCACCTCGGCCTCCCAAAGTGCTGGGATTAGTCGTGAGCCACCGCGCCCGGCCCTTTCAAGTACTTCTTAAAGCTGTGGGGTTTCCCAGAGCTTGGTAGCATGTGTGTTCAAAGGGCTATTTATTAATGTTGGGTTCTAGCAGGCACTGGATAGAGAGCAGGATGGTCCTGATATCATACAGGGCAGACCACTTCTCCTTCAGGATTTCCAGGCATATGTTACCCTGGGTGTTCATGTTAGGGTGGTAGCAGGGTGTGAGGAACTTCACCATGGGTGCATTGTAAGGGTGGGTAGTCACTGAGGAACTCTAGCAAGAGTTTATACCTCAGGTCTTCATACACTGTGCCAGCAGCTCCATGGATAGTCTCCATTTGATAAGGCTTTCAGGGCAGGCAGAAATTCTTTTGTCACCAGGCATTGTGAGGGTCACCAGCTCCTGCTGTAGCCTTTTGCCTACAGGGTCCCAGGCAATGCTCCTGCTGGGCTCAGCTCCTTTATGGGTGGTGGCAACACTGACAGCGACTGTGTCAAAGTTTTGGGAGGCTACCTGGGTGGCAAGAACTCAGAAAATGTGACTGCATCTGTGATCATCATGTTTATTTTTTAATCTTTATTTATTTTGAGACGGAGTCTTGCTCTTGTTACCCAGGCTGGAGTGCAGTGGCATGATCTTGGCTCACCACAACCTCCGCCTCCCGGGTTCAAGCCATTTTCTTGCTTCAGCCTGCGGAGTAGCTGGGATTACAGGCACTTGCCACCATGCCTGGCTAAGTTTATATATATATATATATATTT